ATATAGATATAATCCAAATACAATGCTCATATATGATATTCTCAAAAAAATAAAAATACTTGAAATGTAAGTAGTAAGGGAATATTTAGTGAAAGGCGAAAAATAATCAGTTGGGATGTGAGGAGTATAAGAGAAAGAGTAATAAGGGGTGAATTGATCAAAATACATTCTATAAATGTAAAAAATGTCATAATGAAGCACATCGCTATGTATAACTACTGGATGATGATTACATTTATTATTTTTACTTTATATGTATATATGTATTGCCTGCCTGTGTGTAAGTGAACCCCTGTCCTGCAATACCCTCAGAAGTCAGAAAAGGGTATCAGATTCCCCTGGAACTGGAGATATGGAGGCGTGTTTGCTGCCATGTGGGTGCTGGGAATCAAACCTGGGTCCTCTGCAAGAGCAGCTAGTGCTCTTAACCCTTGAACCCCACCAATGGCATTTTTAAAACTACATATGAAACCAGCCAATGCAAGTAGAGAAACAAACTTTTCAAAAAAAAAGAAAAACAATTGAGGAGAAATGTGTGTGTATAGAGGTGAGGTCAGAGATTCAGCAAGATAATGTACAATTGGGGGGATGGGAGAGGGGGGGATGTAGGAGTGCATAGAAAAGAACATGAACTGGGGCCATTTGGAGGGACAAGGTAGGGGAAAATAAACCTTAGTCACTTCGGGTCGCGAGGAGTGGAGGACTGGACGGTGACTCCCACATTCACCATCTCTTTGTTCTTAGGAGTCTACAGAAAACCCTCCCTATTGGCCCTACCAGCACCAGTGGTGAAATCCGGGGAGAATGTGACCCTGCAGTGTCGCTCAGAGATCCCGTTTGAGACCTTCATTGTGGTTCTGCACAGACAGGGAGTAAGGGAGGCCCATGTGTATCTTGTGGGAAGCATCATCATGGGCACTCACAGGGAAGCCTCTTCATAGGACCTATGACACCTGCCCATGCCGGGACCTACACGTGCTATGGTTCTGTCAGTAACCACTCATATGAGTGCTCAGACCCCAGTGACCCTGTGGACATCAAGATCACAGGTGAGTGTCCATACCTGCCCCTCACCTTCTTTGTTGTGCAGATCAGATATACTAAGGTTTGAAAGCCCTGTGAGGTCATGACAAAGGTAAGTGTGGAGAACCTATGGAGAGAGGCAGCCTTCGTGAGCGTTTTACTGGCATTTTACTGAAAAGTGAGACATGAGTACAGACCATAACTCCAGGTTTGTGGCAGTGCAAAGGAGTCATAAGGAGAGATAAACAGAATATGGTAATATGGTGAGACTGACTGAATCAGAGAGAAAGGTCCTTCTCCTGATGATCAGAGATCTGGGGCAGTTGAGAATATTTGTTTCCATTTACCTCTACCAGAGGTCTAACAGAAGAACTAGACATATCATGCATTTCAGGGTTGAGTTGGGCTCTTTCATGTTAGATCCCCATGGGTACTGAGGCCTTGGCACAGGTGGCGTGTACAGATGCTCTGTTTAATTTGACATTTCCTCTTTTCATGTGATTAACCTATTATTCATTGAAGAACACCATGGCCCTGGGTTAAGGAGCAGAACACCATTCCCTATGTGTTTGTGTTCTCTCCAAACTGATTTACTAGGCTGTGTTTCAAAATTATTCAACATTACAGGATTAATGAGGAAAAAAATCCCAAAGGTTCAGAGGAGAGGTACTGAGAGACTCAGAGAAAGAAAGAAAGAAGAAAGAAAGAAAGAAAGAAAGAAAGAAAGAAAGAAAGAAAGAAAGAAAGAAAGAAAGAAAGAAATGAACTGTACAACCATCTTTTAAAAAGCAATGATCCAGACTGGGAAGGTGCCATAGTTGATAGAGTGCTTGCCCAGCACGTAGGAAGCTCTGGTTCCAACCCCAGCAGTGCATAAATGGGGCATGGTGGCACATGCCTGTACTTGCAGCACCTGGGAGATAGAGGCAGGAGGAATAGAAGTTTGAGGTAATACTTGGCTACACAGTGAGTGCAAAGTTAGCCTGGGCTACAGGAAATGGGAGGGAGGGAGGGAGGGAGGGAGGGAAAGAGGGATGGAGGGAGGGAGGGAAGGAAGGAAGGATAATGTATGACAACTGTAGAAAGGAAATAACACTAGCAATCACAGACCTGAATGGAAGATTTGAAGGTACAGATGAGAGATAATGAGAGATGATGGAGATTTGGTAAGAGAGGTAGAGTGGCAGAAAAGTGTATACATGTAGATCTGTAATGAAGACACATGATAGATACATAGATGATAGATACATAGATAGATACACAGTTAGATATATAGATACATAGAGATGATAGACAGCTATAGATAGAAAGATAGATAATAGATAGATGTTGATATATAGATGATAGATACATATAGATAGGTAGATTATACTAACAGATAGATGATAGATTAGATTAATATATTTATAGATGGTAGAAGATAGATGATAGATAAACATGATAGATAGATGATAGATAGATGATAGATAGATGACATGATAGATAGATAGATGATAGATGTGTGGTGTGTGTGTGTGTGTGTGTGTGTGTGTGTGTATACATGTAAAGGCCAGAGACTGATACTTAGTACTTTCCTCAATTGTTCTCCACCTTTTTGTTTTGAGACAGGGTCTCTCACTGAACCTGTAGCTCACTGATTTGGCTAGACTGACTGCCCAACAAGCCCCAGAGATGCTCTGCACCTCATCTCTCAACACTGGGACTACAGGCATGTGCCACCATGCCTGGCTTTTTACATAAGTTGTGGGAAATCGAACTCAGGTCCTCATATTGCACGGCAAACACTTTAGCAACATAAGAGAAACAATACAGAGATTGTCTTGGACCCTGCTCAAGCACGCTGTCTTTTGAAAGAATAGCTTAACACAGATATAAAAAAGACAAGACAACAAATGGAAGATTAGAATGAAAACAGATTCTAGCTTTAATATATATGGAGCATGGGAGTGATAGATCATGAAATTAGAAAGGGAACCAGGAGAGGGGGAAATCTTAAGAGAGATGGATGGTAAAGAGTGTAGTGGGATACATGTGACAGGAATGTGGAAAAGCCTCACTAGGAGATACAAGACCAGCAGAAGGTAGCAGGGATACGATGAAGAGGAGGAAGAAGAAGACCAATAAAAGAAAACAGTATGAAAACGTGACAATGGAATACTAATTACCATGCTAATTAAAACAAACTAATAGGTAACCTTAACTAAGCCCATCAGTTTACCCAAAAAAAAGAACAAAATAAAATCTCCACAGTATGGTAGTCTAACAAGATCTGCATACTTGACATGCCTAGATAGATGGAAGAAAGCTCACCTCAAGATGAAGAGCTACTGGCAATCAATGGATGCTGAAGGAGGGAGAATCAGTGTTCTCTAGGGACAGGCTCCCTGAGGGGTTATATAATCCCAGCTGGTCAACGCTAAGCACAGGTGCACACGAGCACAACTAAATGGAAGCAGATATATATAGATAAGCCTTGAGAGTACTAGGATGCCATCACATAGTTTGTTTAGAGGAGATGATTCTCTCTTGAAGATATATATGTATATATCTTCATATAGAGAGAGAGAGAAAGAAAGAGAGAGTTTAACAATAAAAAAGAGGACAAGGACGTGGGAGAAAATGAAGGGTGACTAGGAGGGTTGGGAATAATCCAAATACAATGTTCATGTATGAAATTCTCAAAAAATAAAAAATACTTTAAAGGAAATGTAAGTAGAAAAAAGAATATTTAGTGAAAAGAATAAAACCATCAGTGGGAATGTGAGGGGGACAGAAGCAAGAGCAATACAGGGTTAATTGGTCAGAATACATTATATAAATATAAAAATGTCATATTAAAACCCATTGTTATGTATAATATATGCAAATAATTTTAATAGTTTATTTATTATTGTTACTTTATATGTATATGTGTATTGTCTGCATGTGTGTAAGCACACCCATGTTGCACAATGCCCTTGGAGGTCAGAAGAGGTATCAGATTCCCCTGGAACTAGAGTTATGGACACTTATTAGCCACATATGGGTGCTGGGAATTGAACCTGGGTCCTCTGCAAGAACAGCCAGTACTCTTAACCACTAAAACCCACCAAGGACATTTTCAAAAAATACAGATAAAGCCAGACATTACAAGTAAAGAAAGAAACTTTAAAAAAAGAAAAAGAAAGAAAACAACTGGGGGGAAATGTGTGGGTATAGGGGTGAGGTCTGAGATTCAGCAAGATAATGTAGAATTGGGGGGACAGGAGAGAGAGGGAGAGAGGGAAAGAGAGAGAAAGAGAGAGAGAGAATAGAAGAAGGGAGAGTGAATCACCCTCAGTTAGGAGTGAAGGACTTGTGGATAGGCATTGCCCCTCTAACTGTCTCTACTCTTCCAGATCTATACAAGAAACCATCTCTCTCAGCCCAGCAAGGCCCTGTGGTGATGTCAGGAGAGAACGTGACCTTGTCTTGCAGCTCTGACCACCAGTTTCACAGGTTCCATCTGTCCAGGGATGGAGTGCCTCAGGGATGGAGTCTCCATGCAGTGCACAGTCACAATGGTACATTCCAGGCCAACTTCCCTCTGGGTCCTGTGAACCAGGAAGAGACCTACAGATGCTATGGCTCTTCCAATGACTCTCCCCACGAGTGGTCACACCCAAGTGACCCTCTACACCTTTCTGTCACAGGTGAGAAATCCTCATATATGTCCCATGTCTTATGACTCAAACTAAGTCCTAAAGTCATGTCTGAGAACCATCATAGTGAGGTTGGAGAGGTAGAAGCATAGTCAAATATAGAGGACAGGAGAGGTAGATTGTGAGAGTATAAGGGGGTAGAATGGTAGACCGGGAGTCACCCAAACTTTCCTTATTTTCATGATGGCCCACACTGGAGAATTTATGAATCCAGGTAGATGAAGTAAGGGTTAGGATAGACCCATATGGAGATGAGGTTAGGATCAGTCTGGGAAGATCAAAGATGGCCAGCCCTTCTGACCTGTCACCCACAGAAATCTCCTCACAGAACTTGAGTCAGCTCTTCACCCCAGACGCCCCAGGAAAGAGTCAACTCTTCTAAACAAACTATGTGAGGACATCCTAGAACTCTTAAGACTTAGCACTAAGGTTGAGTGTTTGTCACTGACCAACCTTGAAGGAGCTTCCATAAAGAAAAGACTAACAGCCTCATTGCCTACCTCTCCCTTTCCTTCCCCGACCCTCTTCTCTAGGAAACTACAAGCAATTGCTCTTCATGCACAGAACCAGACTCCAAAACTGGTTAAGTAAAGGGTCGTCTTCTCTACTGTGGAAATCTAGGGTACAGCAAGCATTGGGGTCATGTGTTGGCCCAGTGGCAGCATAGATCTATGTCATTTTCCCTCTCTGATTCTCAAACCCTACAACAGCAGAAGTTGTTTTGGGAAAGCACGGATAATAAATGGTCAGTGTGGACTATTAAGCTCTAACTTCTGCATCTGAGACCTGCTTCAAATGAACAAGGGCACAAATGTAACCCATTTCCCAGTAATAATGTAGTGCTCATTCCAGCTCTGTTCCTACTAGAAAGGAGATTGTGGTACCTGAAATAGGAAGGAAGCAAGTGGAAGGGAAGTTTTTATAGAAATGCTGCTCGACAGGGAATGAGTGCTTGTGTGCTAGGCCGCAGTGCTGGTTTTCTCACGAGGTAAGATTGTTGCAATAAGAAAGAACATAATTCATCCACACATAGAGCACAGTCAGTCTCCTCCTTCCATTTCTGTTCCATGTGTCATGTGTTTTCAAATGCTGCTATAACAAACTCCCACAGGCTCAGTGTGTTAAAACAAGCAGTTTCAAAGATTATCCTTACAGTTCTGTAGATTGGAAGTCAGATATGCTTCTTGCAGCTCTTCCTATGATTAATCCTCTGCCTCCATCTTTCTCTTTGAAGGACATGTTGATTATACTGGACCTATCCAAACAACCCATAATAATCTTCCCCATTTTAGGGTCATGCTTAATTCTGTTTGCAACTTTAAATTCTAATTTAATATAACTCAGGCACGAAGTATAGGGATTAGAACATTGACATTCAGAAGTAGTTTCTTCTACTGACCAAAAATAAGTAGACTCTACTCTTGGGAAACTGATGTGGCAGTATGGCTAAATGGGAAGGCAGGAGTGAATGTATAATGGATGGATGGATTGATGGATGGATGGATGGATGGATTATAGATGGATGAATGGATGGATGATGAATGGATGGATCGATGGAGGGATGATTGATGGATGGATGATGGATGGATAGACATGAATGGATGGATGATGGATGGTTGATGGATGGATGGATAGATAGATGGATTATGGGTGGACAGATGACAGATTATGGATGGATGATGGATGGATGGATAATTGTATGAATGGTTAATTGAATGGATAAGTGAATGGATGGATAATCTATTATTAAAAGGTATATGTAAAATTTAAATAAAATGGTAATTAATGCTTATTTGGAAATTCAGCCTATAATCCCATAGCAATCAGGAAATATCTGTGGCCTCATTAACAAGATGAATTCAACCCTTAGAAGACTAGTGGGAGATCATTCCAGACAGGACTATCACCATGGCGGCACAAAGATGAGACTAATCTTCAGTTCATAGAAGAGGCTATGTCTGATGTATGAATAATATGAGGAGAATTACAAGGTGGATGTAGAGAGAGAAAATAGGTGACATCAGGGGACTTGGAAAGTTAACGGGCTTATACTTCATATTTGCTGCCATCAGGAGCCAGCTAGGGTTTCCTGAAATATAATCAGATAATCCATATATGATTAACAGTCATTGATACAAAAAATGGTTTCCCATTACATCAGTCGAAGATAATATTATGAAAATTAACCACAGACTGATCTGGCCAACCGAAAAAACTCAAACCATCCTCAGGAAGTGGAGGAAGTTACTTTTTATTCCCCAGGGGCCCCGGCCTGGACTAACTTGTTCCAGAGAAACTGAAGCACAGACCAGAAATACATAGAGGTTTTTATAGGATTTTTCATGTCATCCTTTGTCAGTAATCATATGAGTGGATTTGAGACTTTCAGCACAGAAATATACATGTCCCTTAAGTTATTATGGGGTTTTTACAAAAACCAGATATTTGGGACAAGTGTGGGCAAGAGTTGTGACATGATATTCCTGATGTTAGTACAATCAAATAAGACAAATTGCAGCAGGTGTTTTCTTACAATCACAGACTGATGGCCTCTATGATTTCAGTACAAATAGAAGCTTCCAAAATCCTATTACCCCTATATATATATCAACAAGAACACTTATTATTAGGCTTATTTTTAGGAGTACATAGGTTCTTATCAAATACATTTGTTAGTACTTACTCATCTGCCACATAGAACAAAGTTATACTGAGGTCAGAGTTCTGTAGTCCATATTGGGTT